AGATTTGTGTAGGGAGCCTCTCAAAATTAATCGACGCGTATACCCGTGGACCACGCGAAGTAAAGGAATAATAAACTTAGTAATCTGGTCGCGTCGCCGGCGAGTGTTCAACGATAGTTAACAATTGTTGAGAACATTCCATTATGTTAAATAGGGGTCATACTACGTACTTTACGTCGATGAAAACATTTCTTCGAACCGACATACGAGCGTTCGAATCGAAAATAGATAACAATTGTTGATATCATTCAAATGTACAACAGGGGATCATACATGACGAAAACATTGCTTAAAAATATCTTTTTGAACCGCATAACTTTCTCTATGTTCGCAATATATATTTCTTTTCTTTTTGCTATTTACACCGTTGTCTGGAAACATGAACTGCAGTAATACTAATAGTAAACTTCTCTTTCTTTTATTTTCTATATGAACAATTGCTTTACAGCTATTTATCGTTATCGTTCAAGTATAAGCAGGCCTTAAGGGATTTATTAAGATGCAAGCCGAATCGGCGTGACTTACCATGTTACAAATAAAATTCTTCACCGTTGATGTAAACACTATGAAGGAACAGAGTGTAGGCCTACAGTGCAGGATTGTTGTATTTCATTATAGGAACATTTGTATAGTATATTATTATTTTTGAAACTTTTTATATCGTCGTCAGCATAAGAATGTCTTCACGAAAAATTTCCAGTCAAGAAGTCCTAAGAACGTTTGCCGCCATAATCTGATTTTATTTTTAGCTACAGTTCTTTCTTTCAGGTGGATTCCAAAGTCTAGACCAAGAGATCAACAGAGATAGCAGTGTTAGCTATTGAATCTATTGCTCACACCTACCGGGGACTGTTGAAGCACATGTTTCCGTTGCATGGCTGACTTTCACAAGGAATAATAAATTATATTGAGAAACTCCATAGACTATGATACCGTGTTTTCATATATATCCTTGGGAATTGATGGGGAGACACCAATTTTGAGTGCAGGATGGAGAATGAACTGGACATAAATGGCAAACAAAAGTAAAATGAGGTGATTTTTAACTAATTTCGTGTAATATTTTGCTCAGTCAATTTCCATGGATAAACCACAAGCTTCTTCCGTGTGAGGACAACTGACAAGAAACAGAGCAAGAATGGTACTGTATTTCGAAATTTGAATAACAAGGGAATGATTATTAAAGGCGATGTAATAAATAATTCGGAATAAACAATGATGACGAGCTACAGAAAAAGGCCTTGAACCAAGAACGAAATCAACTATGAATAAATAATTTAGTCTGATCCAAGTCTTTATTTAAAACCCTAATGTGATACTGCATGGTTCTAAAATCCATTTCAATCCTTTTTTACGTCCATTGGAGTGGGATGACAACTACTTTGAGGAGATTAAAATACCAAATTACGGGAAAACCTGTTCGAGTGTCAATGGATGATTATATACATCATTATATATCCGGGGGTGGGAGGGGGGGGGGGGTTGTTGACGACGTCCAGAATTTTAGAATACCCTTTTTTACTAAGAAAAATGTATTGCAACATTCAATACATGCCCTGGTACGCTAGGTCCCCGCTATGTGTCTTCATTATGGGTTGGTGCTTGACTGAGACATTCAGCAACTGCATTTTTTATGTTCGGAGCCCTTGTTGAAAATGCCGACGCCAATACAGCGCCGGTGTAGGCCTACCAGAATTAATTTGCCAAAGTCATATGGCGGAGGAGAAAATGAAATTTGATTGATGAACGTATAAACATATAAATAGTGGAGTTTATAATAGCTTTAAATTATTATTATTATTATATTTAAGACAGCAATATTGATATCTTTCGACAGATTTCAAGGCAGCAGCGGGCCGATAATAAAAATAAAATAAGATGTGAAACTGAGGGTGCTATTTTATGTTCAAATTGCACTTGTCAGTTTTTTTAATTTAAAATATGCCTCGCCTAAATCGTTATTTAAACCGTTTTTTTTTTTGTTTTTTTTTGTTTTTTTTTATTTAAGTAAAAACTCGCCTAAATTGTTATTTAAACCGGGCTAAAAACATTGTTTCCCAAATTAATTAGCTGTTGATTTTATTGCTCACACCCCCATCATTCCACAGCCCAGAAGAGAAGCACATGTTCCGTTGCGTCGCTGAAATGATGACTCTACCATTAAAATGTAGGGTAATATAATATAATTAATTTCAAAGACAAAGATTTTCTAATGTATTAATCAAACTGTACTACTAAAAATGCTTGAAGGACACTTATATCAAGGTAATTTAACAAAAGGACGCACATCTCGGGACATCAAAGGTTATAACTC